ATACAAGTTCACAAAAGATTGATCACTGACCAGATTTAACGCAATCAAGTGGCAAGAATAACGCCCAATGGAAATAACATAATACCAGACACGGTACCGAAATTACAAGAATCGGGCGCGAAGAAATCAGTCCAATAATAAATATCTACTTCACGAGCTAGTGTATTCATAAATTTAGAAATTATTAAATCTTTACATCTTCGGAGAGTCGAATACGCTACACGTAACCATCATTCAACTTTTCATAACCCTAACATAAATAAACACAAGATATTTACAATAACCATGTGTCAGTTCATCCCAAACTAGTATGTGAGATTTGCATGGATATGTAACTTTTTATATCCATATCGCACTTATGTATAGTTCTGTCTATAGCGTGAATGTCACTGTGTGACTTAATCTACACTAAAACAGGCCGAACGTAGGAGTGTCTTCATTTCACTTACTGATATTTTCAACTGTAAAAGTTTCTAATCCAACGTCCAAATGACCAGCCATCGAAATCAACGTGTTTTTGCCTAAATCGTAGTTTGTCTAATACATAGATATCGTTACAATATCTTTATATCCTATTACACAATGCCTAACCCTCCTCCTTTATTTCGGCTTGAGAGCTGCCGTAACCCCAGTGTAGCGTCATGAGTATTTTCAGTTTTTTACTGACATACTGAAACAGAGTAGAATGTGTATAAGCCACGATAATGAAAAGGTCAGTTGTAATTAAGAATGACTTGGAGAAATCATAAGTTTTTACTCTGGAGTGATCAGATATCCATTATCTGTTTCGCAAGCAAGTTCACTACAGAAGTTTCAACTTGCAACTTCGTAAGTACTTATATCAGATCAAGTTGCCATACAGTAATAGCACAGAGACGGAATTATCAATTCAAATCCCGTAGTAGTAGAAGTAGAAGTATTGCGAGTAATCGAAGAGATTAGTTACCGAGGATGTTATCCAAAACATATAGGCAAATGAAATAAACTTAAGAATGGATAGATAAAGGTGACGAAAAGTTTAGAGGATTAGCATTCGAACGAACACAGAGAATGGATGCACGTGCGCCATCGCAAATGGTTCTGAGCCATGTAATTCAAGCTCTCTAACCATCGAATACTGTCATCTTGTGGGCCTCAACCAGGAAGTCAACACCTACTGAGATGACTCAATCCACTTGTCAGTGACTTCAAGGATTTCCTCAATGTTTTGGTTTGGCCGCACCTAGCTATCTCCTAACCTGCTCCTACTCATACCGCATGTCCCAACTACTTCAACTGATGTAGTTTCAATACTTCACTGATTGATATGCCATTCTTACCTAAAACCCGTTTCCTAACAACAGCACTGCTTCCTCGGTTGTTCCAGGATACATAAGCAATATTTCGGAGACACCTGTGATCGAAAACACACAACCTACGAACGTCCTCCACTTTCACCGGCCATGTTTCGCATCCATAAAATAGGACGGAGCGAATCACCATGTAACAGACTCGTCTTTTGATTAGCAGACGGATATCTCACCTTCATAGATGACGTAAGTTGGAGAGAGCCAGTTGAGCCTTCTGTATCCGTGCTGAAACTTCACCATGCCATCAGCGTTGGTGAGACTTCCGAGATAAGTTAAGCGATTAACATGCTCAACTGCTTCATGGGCCGATATAAGTCAATCTCGAAGCGACATTTTGCATTTTGAAGAGGAGAATCGCATGCTTGCGTTGTTGCTTAGGGTAGTCAGAAGACTGAATTTTGTCAATGGCGTCATTAAGTAGAACTATTCCACTGTGATATTCTAAGTCTACGAGCGAGTCTCCTGGTAAAATTTTAACATATGAAAGGTCAGATGATGAAAGTATACTATCTAAAAGCAGAAGAGGACTTTTCCCTTTCTTATAAATTTGGACAATCAGAGATTAAGATCAGACAGATGCGATTACACCCATTTCTCAAATTCTACCTAAGAACTCATTCAATCTAGCTGCTAAAACCGGACCGCTATCCTTAGAAATCTCAGGGATTAGTCTATCAGGACGTGAAGTTCATCCTCGCTTCAGATTTCCCAACGCTTTCTCAACTTGAGAGATACTCGGAGGACTCACATCAGTTTGCCATTCAGGATGACTGGAGATAGTGGGTAACTGAAATTTTCTGCCCATCGATCCAATCTCCTGCGTTGTAAATGAACAATTAGCCCATTCTTTCCCTAAATTGTCTCATTTACAGTTGTATTCCTGATACCGGTTTCCTTGGTAAGTTTGAACAGTTGCCTACTCTTATTTATAGCAGCAGCCTTTTCCATCTCTCCTGTTTTCGTTACTCAGCACTGTTCGTTACCTTTGTGTAAGCTTTTTGTCAACCAGTGCCGAAGCTTACTCCGCTCCTCATCGTACTCACAGTCAGAGGAATGAGCTTGCGATCATCAGTTAGTTTGGTAGATGTCACTGAAATCCGTCAAATACCTATAACCACATCGAAAGAACAAGTATCGAGTGAAAAATATCAGCTGTTTTATACTAGCTCGTGAAAAAGATATTTGATATTGTTAGATAAAGCGGAGAGGCCACAAACGACAGCTGATCTCGAGCAACAACGCCCTGAAAAAGATACAAACATAATGGTCATGCCGACTGAATGCACTACACTGGCGAAAAACCTGAAGCGGCAAGTTCCCGCAGAACTGGTCAACGTTTTAAAATCGGACAACGTCCGTTGTTTGGAAGGGTGAGCCAAATGATGCAACAAACCACCAAGTGCTTATATATAAACGAATGAGGACTAAGAGGCTAGCTGTTAGGGACCAAGATTAAATGCTTTCAGATAAACCTGAAGATCATAATTCTAACTTAAACTCCATCGACACCCAGACGACGAACTGAGCTAACAATGCAAGACATTCTACTGATTCGACTCAGTATAAAAAACAGGAGGTTGGGCGGGTTACACCAGACAAGATGAGGAGAGGACATATATATTAAGAGCCACTTAAAAGCCGAAAGACTACACGGCACCCATCAAAACGAGGTTACAGAATCATGTTGGTGTTGCTTAAATACAGATGACATGAATTACTTGATTGGAGGGATTTACTGGCCCCCATCAGTAACTAATCCGCAGAAGAAATACAGCAACTGCCACTTCTTCGGTTTGGTCACATACATTAAGCTGGGGATTTCAAAACCCTATCTCAATTTTTTAGCAGAGGGTACAATTCCTACATGTTGATTCCACAGGCAACTTGGCGCAGCTATTCTCGGCTGACTGAGCATGTATGCGACGCCGATAGATGGACTAAGGATGGAAAATACTGAAACGTGAATTATTTGTTAACAAATGCCCACCACCTAGTCATGGATGTTTACGTCTATACACCGATCGAAAGAAGTGAGGATGACATATTCTTGATTAACATGATCATAAAGGAAACACCAAAGCAGACTACACCTGCATGAGAGAGTATCTTCTAAACGCCCATTGGCCATAGGAATAGTGAAAGTTAACAGTAGACGATCACTGGTAAAGAGTGAGAGACATCATCCAGAATGCCGTCCTAAACAATATACCTCAGACACACCACACACCAGGAAACTAGAGAACATGGATTAGACAAAGCACTGAACACTTGCTACAAGCGAAGAGGAGAACCTGGAACATGTGGAAGGTCTCTCTTAAGGATTCCGACCGTGGTCCTAACTTTGAATTGAGAAACAGATGTAATGCCAAAGTTTGAAGTGATAGGAGACGCTTCCAGATGAAGCTAGCTGTCGATATACAAGCAAACTCTAAGCATATGATTAGGTTCACTGGAAAAAGTAAGCCCACGAACCAAGGAGTGTGTTCCCTCAAAGATCTAGACGGCGAAGATATTACCGTCCTCGGGATAGCTGAGACCTTCAACATGGCCACATGTTCAGAGCACAACTCAAAGCCTACGCCAGCAGACGGCTCAGGGAATATCCGACTTACTCCTGACTTAGTACTAAGGAAACTAAGAACCTTGTGCCCAGTAAAACCACCAGGATGTGAAACAGTATGCAGAAGCCCTCAGTTTGCCTGTGTGTGATCTATTCAGGCATTCACTGCAGTCACGCCAACTCCCAGTTGAATCGAAACAAGCTACTCTGTCTCCATTCTTCAAAGGGGAATATAGGGAGGACTTCTATCTGAAGTTGGTGCTGATTATGTTGTTCAAAAGGACAATGAAAGCTCAACAACCAAAACATCCGGCTCATAGAACGGAACTTCTTCACAAGGAGGGACCTAGCCTGTTACCGACCAGTCACATTACTACCAATACTGTCGAAGGTAGTGAAAGGATTAGTGAATGAGAAAATGAGGGAGTATATGGTCGAGACCGAAATCCTCCATGAGGCTCGAAACGGGCTTCAGAAAGACAGGTAATGCGCATCTAATCTCATAACACTGGACAGTTGGAAAACTTGCTGGGACCAGAAAACATAAGTTCATATCATATTCCTTGACTTCGGAAAAGCCTTCGTTACAGTGCTTCTTATCGCAAAGGTTGTGAAGATGATTTTCACTGATCCACTTCTATCTTGACTCAAAAACTACCTTGGGAACAGAGAGTTTCACACTAAGGTAAATAAAGTGCATTCGAGCAGGCCAGTCTCAACATCAGGAGTGGCAAAGGGGATCTACTTAGGTCCACGCCTCTCCTTGACACTCGTTAACCACGTGTAGATAAATTTAGCCCAGCGGGACCAATCTATTATGCAAAGATCTGGAGGCCTATAAGAAGCGAAGAGAATTCAACTGAGCTTAAAATAAATCTTTTATTTACTTAGGAGTCGTCAGTGGAAAACGATTTAAAGTTAAACAGGTCTAAGTATCACATTATGAACGTTCTCTCCAATGTGATACAAACGACTTACACCCTTGATTGATGTCTGCTCCGTAATGTCTCGTCAGAGCGCGATCTCATTCCTGTGAACACCATATCTAGCTACATAGGGACGCAATCAAGGCAGATGCAACTCTTCAACTTGGTGTGGTCAGCCCACTATTCCACTTAATTCTCTTCAACACACACACGGACATACACTGAAATTCACGTCAGAAACCCTTCCTCCTTTAAAGATACATAATTCACCTGGAGCGAGTCCAGAGATGATCAACTAAGTCGGTGATAAGGTTGAAGAACTGCCTTACGTAGACTTCAATACTTGAGTTTATTCCATCCGAGTTACAAGGGAATCAGAGATGATCTGAAAATGACATACATGTCAGGCACGCCAAACCATCCCAACGTAAGCCTCTTACTGAAGCATCACCACCACGTCTCTCGAGGTAATCTTCGAAAAATTGCGCATCAAAGAGCGAACACCCTGGTTCGTTCATATTTCTCATCGAGTTGTTACAACTTGAAATGCTCTCCCAGCTGAGTTGACCATAGCCCTCTCAGTGGACAGCTCTAATAAGAGACCTGATAAACACATACAAACAGACTGTCGTCTCCTTTGATGCATGTCTTGTAACCTGCTAGTTGCTAGCAGTGCTATCTCCTCAGATCACTAACTTAACATATCTCGCGTATTATCCCCGTTTCGGGTCCACTGCTTACACTTCGGTCCTCTCGCAAAATCTTTATCACCAATTAATAAACTGGTTTATTTATTAACTCCTAAAATCTCATTAGCGTTAGAAACTTCTCTCTATTAATCTGACTGATCTCCAGATTTGTAGTGTAATAGCAGCTGGTATTCAGAAACCCTACTGCTTTGAAACAAACACACACGCAAATCACGGCACACAAATAATGAATAACTGCCAACTGACTAGCATTATTGCAGACGATTGGCTAGACTACCATCGATTGGACACTATCAAACACCTGGAATCGTACCAAAAGAACAGTAATCGAGTGCAAGGAAATCAACTGTTTTGTACTAGATCGTGAAAAATATATCGGATCATTCTTCTCCAACATGTTGAATTTCACTGAACGCACTTTTGCCGGAACGCCAGATTAGTGTCCTACATTGAAATGCAGCGCACTGATATAGTCTCGAAATGGCTGGCTTCTTCGTTATGAACATTTGTAATGGGAAGAAATTTACATTGTAAACTCTACTTACAGTTTATTTTTTTAATGAGTACAATAAAAAAGTGACTTGAGGGACAGGTGAACAGTATTCTTATGTCTCGTCAGGGAATTATAGATGTCTAATGTAGTTATGAATTATTAGTCAACTTGATCTCCTCGAGTGAAACAAAAGCAATTAATTGTGCATTTTTGACCAGATTTCAAAACTCCATCTACAGATGCACTTATGGTAAGACTGCTAACATTATATATATTATTTGGGGTTCCGGATATACATTCCAAGAGCAAGCTGAAGCTTGACGTGTTAAATGAAAACTGGATAGTGTTTACAGACAACAACAGTTTTTAACTCTCTTAATATAAAGATATTTATGCATTAGACAAACTACGATTTAGGCAAAAACACGTTGATTTCGATGGCTGGTCATTTGGACGTTGGATTAGAAACTTTTACAGTTGAAAATATCAGTAAGTGAAATGAAGACACTCCTACGTTCGGCCTGTTTTAGTGTAGATTAAGTCACACAGTGACATTCACGCTATAGACAGAACTATACATAAGTGCTATGTGGATATAGAAAGTTACATATCCATGCAAATCTCACATACTAGTTTGGGATGAACTGACACATGGTTATTGTAAATATCTTGTGTTTATTTATGTTAGGGTTATGAAAAGTTGAATGATGGTTACGTGTAGCGTATTCGACTCTCCGAAGATGTAAAGATTTAATAATTTCTAAATTTATGAATAATGTGTTGACAATTTAACAGCAAAGTAGCTTATCGTGATGTTAATAATTAACAGTTATAGTGAGAAGTGGATACGAGAATTCATATTTATTTTACCGCATTGTGAATATACATCTATTGAGACAAAAAACTGTTATTTTTGTGACCAGAATGAAAACTGAATCGAGTCACTGCAGAGATAGAGAATTTTATTTTAAGTGAAGAACAAGTAGAGTGGGATGAGGGGATGTATAATATCGTCTGGTGAAGACACGTCTAAATGTCATTACTTCACTTGATTCATAAAAAATAAACAGGTTAACATACAAGGTAATCATAAATAAACTCAGGAAATCATGAGTAACTGCAAAAGTTGAAACGACGAGGTTAGGTTGAAAATGGAACTAGAAAAGAAAAGGCGACGGTAGTTATTCAATATCCATTAGATCTTGATCTTGAGGATTGGAAGATGAGCTTAGATTACCAGTGCGACCATTTTGTGTACAATCTTTAGTTATACAATGCGAGGATAAAGCCCCATTTGAAAGACCGTTTTCATCGGTTTCAGACGTACAATCTTCTTGTTCTTCATCATTACTGTTGATCATGTTGTGCATTTGTACACAACCAACTTTGCGACGTACATAAACTAAAACATATGCAGCGCTAGTCTAGAAAAAAAGATGAACAAATGATCAGGCAAATAACATACAATAGCCATCATATAGTTTAGTTGATGATCTTATAAACCATAAATAATGTGTACTAAACACATTAAATTCAACTTGAAATAGATAAAAATAGTTAAAACGAATGTAATTTCCTTCACATATGATGCCAAGTCCTCAAATGTAGAATTGTAGCTTTCTGCAGTTTAATAAATTGAAGTGATTTAACCCGTAAAATATGTGGTTCAAACAGTTGTATATTAAATAGTTTGAGTGCAACCAACTGAACTAAATAAAAAACAACTTAACTGTAACAACAATGAAAATCAACTGAAACGACAAACAGGTAAAAGAGCATACACAACTTACAACAATTTTGGAAGGATCACATTCTCGTGTTGAAGAATCATCGAAAAAGTACCACCGATTAGTCTGAGCATTTAAAGCAAACGCTGTATAATGACCTCCACCCAAATATCCCATATGGTTACTCACAGCTACTAAGTCATAGATAAACTTTTCATCTGGCTTCTTTTCAAGTACATGTGAAGTCAAATTCAAGCCACTAATATGTTTATCCAATGAGATTTTTGTACAGTAGAAAAACATAGAGAAAAAATAAAACTGTTATAAAGATCTATACAATGTAATTATCAGAATCATACCGATAATAATAATAATGATAATAATAATAATAGTAATAATAATACACTATAATAAATTACAGGAAATAAAAGTACCACATAAATGACATGAAATTAATTATTTTATTCATACTCCAAAATTAAATAACCTAGTGGAGTGAAAATGGTAGGTATTCACAGAGATTAGATACGGAACAATATGGAAAAAAAAGAACAGGGATGTATTTTAAGAATTCCGACTTGAAAATACAACACGAAACAGTCAACACACTGTCGTCAAATAGCATACCGACATTCATCATATTAATCAATGATTATTCTAAGTGAAATGAACTAGTTCAAATAGTGATTAAACATTGCGCAAACTGATTAATTCATTCATTATGACATTTACTTGTGAAATTAAATTATTATTATTATTATTATTTTTAAATCAATACACAAATTATTTTAGTATGTTCTATTGCAATTCATTATTTAAAAAAAATTAATATCATCATGCATAATAAATTGAAGCTGATGACACGAAAAGTTCATTATTATCTGTATGACAAAAAAAATTTGAAATAATCTGTCCCAACAACCGTTCAGCTTAATTTCTAAGCAATAAGTTACAGAAATATTTGGACGTGATCCCTTTAATTAGATATGAGATTAAATTTAGTGAAAATATTTTTAGATTTAAACACATCAATATTGATACAGATAGAATGTGAAAAGGTGAGTCTAATTAAAAAGAACAAAAATGAGTAAAAGTGAGAGTAAGTAAAATACAATCAAAAAAGACTCAGTTAGTTCAAGAAGTTCATTTTACTTAAATGAAGAAAGTAAAAGTAAAATTACAGTATGACCATAACTAGTTTATTTTCTGAGTCATATGTGATGTATCAAGTCATTGTGTCGAACTATCATCTCTTGGAATTCAACCACAGCATCGTGAAGAACCAAAAGATGCCCATTCTGTACAGCTTTTATTCATATCATGGCACCACGTCATGAACTGATAACCTCTTCACCTTTTCTAATCAATCCTAGTGTCAGCAAATAATGCACCATGTGGAAATCAATGAAACGATATTTGTAGTACATGTCCAAGCCACAGAAGTCGATATTTTAAGGGAGAAAAATTGAGTTTTCGTCACTGTGCCTAAATACATGTTGCAGAACCCCTACGTTACTAACACAGTGTTGCCCCTGAATGTCAGTAATTATTAAGAGACAAAGATGATCAAACACAAAGTTGCCTGACATCCTCGACTCGAAAATACCAGACGATGCATAAACCAAAGCTTCTCTCACTGGTACCTTGTAAATCCAACGTTTTACAAACAGAATAACGTCAGGAAGGTGCCAAAGATGGTCTAGATTGGCATAAACTGCTCTGGTTTCCACGTGAACTTATCTCAAATACTCACTCCAGCACCAGCACTTACCTAGGTACACGAAAGTCGCGACTACTTCTATCTGCTCACTACCAAGAGTGAGTACAGGTTCAGATTCTTGGCGATCTTGTAAACGTACTTTGCATTTAAAAGGTATAGAGCACGTACCGTAACTAAGGATACTGATTTCCAAATGATTAAGTGCGAATTGTGTGGCTTTGGCATTTCAGTTGAACAATATCATCTGTACACTCAAGGTATGAATGTCTTTCTTCAGGTAACAGACTTTCGCAACCGTCACATGTTTTCATAAGAGCTGTTTCTGCGGCGTCATCGTTGAAAACATTAGACAACCCTGCCTAGTCGTACTGCATAGATAAAATATTGGAAAGATGCTTATATGCCCTCAGTCTACTTGAATTATTTGCATATAGTCTTTAAGATGTTAATAAACTTTTATGGAACACCGTTCACGAATAAACAATCCTGTCTAGTGAATCCAGGGAGGCCGTGATATTAAGAAACTCAACGACTGTTGACCTGCAATAAGGCAAGCATAATCTTGGAGCCATTATATCTAGTACATAAGAACTAGACAGAATTAGCTATTGTAACAAGGGAACATGTAGATAGATATACAAGTAGGCATATTCATTTAAATTAAATAGCATGGATAATACTAGAAACTTTCAAAAAACTTGACTTACGTTAATGGGAATTCCAGAAGGGTATCAATTTTATCATGGAATCGTAAGTGAGATCGGAAACGTTTCAACTGTACTACTAGAACATCGGGGAGTTTCCATAAATCAAATTTTTTTGTAGCTGGCTTTTCTGCTTTGCAACGATTACAATACCATAAATCTCTTGAGCCTAATTGTTCTACATCAGTAAATCGTTCGAAACAATCTGACAGTTTTAGGGTTTGATTGAGTCTCGTAACAGGATGTTGTTGTATATGACTTCGAATGTCATTGAGTCTACGTCGTATTTCTAAACCTTGACAGTCCAAAATGATATTATAGGCGTCAGAACCTGGGAAGAAAAAGTATGGACAGTTGTTAATATTGCAGCCGTTTCTTGGGAAATATTTGTCAAAAACATATAAAATAAATAGATCTATATCAAATGATTCAAACTCGAATGTCTGGCACGGACAAATAAAAAGAGTCCGCTCTCCTTCTTGACAGGCACCCGTATGGCCACGCGTATATAGCTACTGTCAGGGAAGACCTACTAACTGCCTTCTCGTGACTAGGGTGTTATTTATAGAGTTGAGGATGAAAGCGAATATCCGGCACTATGATTGGGTTGGTCGGTACGGAAAACCCACCAGGGGGAGTTGGAAAACACTAATCCCAAAACGATCGGTTTTAGGATCCTGAAATAATAAACGGTTTATAAACCCATGGTTTGTCACCGGCTACTATGAGACTGAATCTCCTGACGTTGCTTGTGGACTTCCATGGCTTGAATAATAAGTCAACACTATCTAAATGTGAATGAAAATCTTTATTATGATATTTGAAATAGTGTGATGAAGAGCAATCAATAACACTGATTAGTAATCTCTTGGCTGAATGATTGTTTAATCAATAATTACCATTGTCACATGTTGTTACATCAGGAGCATGAAAACCTTGGGTGAAACAGATTAACCAGAATATCATTTAACATTGATCCATAACAATGCTAAAGTATGTTGATTGCAGTTTTTGTGATATTTCATTTCCATATTAATAATTAAGGTGTGAATTTTTAATAGCTCCAACCATGATAAAACATGACTAACAGCTTAACGAGACAAGCAATATTACAATACACTTCCTCCTGTAAATAAAAATACCTAATACATCAATATTCATCTTACGTATAGACAAGTCGTATCTACAAAGTTAAGCTATTAGAAATAAAATAGTAGAAAAAAGCAAGGCGACTGTAAAAAGTAAACTGCGGTTTTTTAGAGAACACTTACATAACAATTTGTAAGTGAATGTGATACTTTATAAAAATTAAACTGTTATGATGTACGCGTCCCATTATCTGATCGCGATACGCACTAACCCCACAGACTAGCCATTTAAGCGAGAAGGCAAGCGTGGAATAGAAAGTCTATTTGATCACCGAACAATATGTACAAATACCCATAAATATATATATATGTTTGTACATATTATTCGGTGACCAAATAGACTTTCTAAATATATACCTCCTTAAGAAAGGAAGCCATTTCATAATCAATTATACGCATTCAGCGTTTAAGAAACTTTTAATGGTTATTAAGTAACCTTTGCACTTAGCTGTTTCTGATTGGCTTACTATAAAAGCCTCATACTTGTAATCACGAAAGGAGATGGCATAAGATGTTACGTACGTTGCGGTATAATGCTTTCCGGAATCCATGTAAACTAAGAGTTTATACACAGGACTAATAGCAGAGAGACTTTAATCCATCAATGCAATTGAAAATTCAACTTACAAGGGAGAGATATTAAACTATTTTCTGATTCAGCTAACCAATCATGCCCTCTGGCATCCTTCAAACATACACGCCCTTTGAGTAATGACGCTAAATTGCCTGTTGTATTTTCAGTAGTTCGTTTTGACTGGTCAAAAAGATCGGTGGAGTTAGTATGTGATGTATCCGGTTGAGAATTATTGTGAAAGTTGCTTAGAGAGTAAGAAACAACTGAGTTATTGGTATTTTCGTTCGTTAACTTTGATGTATCACTGACTGAAGATGCAGTTGTCCCACTGTTTATACCGATAGCATGTAAACGGTCGACAATGTGTTTGATAAGTATATCTTCCGAGACAGTAATGGTCATTCCTGTAACACCATCATTTATAGGTAAACTAATATAAATAGGGAAGTTTACACCATGACCAATGCTGAAATAAAATTAGAGAAAGATCATGAGTAAAACCTCATATTCAATAACTATGAAAACAAAAAATTTATTAAATGATCTGAAAAAGTTTGACAAGGAAAACTCTGTATTTGTGTTTCATATGTTCATCACGAAGCTTTGACTTATTTATTTAAGTATTTGAGTACTAAGTTGTGATGATGAGCTACTACATAAAATATATCTGTGACTGTCGCTGATATAGAGAGTTTCACTTGATTGCTGAGTTGTAATATTTATTACCGTATAATTACTAGATAACACCACAATTATTATTTAACACTTTAGTTAGGTTTTATCTAGATGACAAGAAATCGCTGAAATTCATCCTATTTTGAAATAGTTGTTGCAGTTGTAGTGTACACGTTGATGAAGAGGTTGGAGTCAAACTTGAAACCAAAGATAACAAACGTTTTCAGCTAGTTAAAAATGCTATAATAATAATAATAGTAATAATAATAATTAGCGATTAAAAATATTTCAAGTTAAAGAATAGCAACTAATAATGGAAAAGATTTGATGAATTCACTTACTTATCATTTGTCCACAAGATAGGTATTGGGAAGCCTTCAGTCAGTTCGTAAGCTATTGGAGATGCATACCTTGAACGATCTACAGATTTGTTTGGTACATAGTACTATATGAAAACAAATAATTGAATGTAAACAAGAGAATTTTGGACGACAGTATTGATTTTTCCATCAATATTACATTTCATTCTAGGTAATTTCTGAAGGAGCATAGATGTTTAGTTTTTATTTAACCCAAAATTAAATACGTATTTAGTGCTACAACTTTAGATATCTTCAACAGTATAAGTGTGAAAGCCATTGAATGCTTACCACTTCAGTAGTTGGTTTGAAATACACTTCACGTAATGTAATTTAGAAAGTACGACAATCACATTAGTCCATATACAAATAGATGTGTCACTACTACTACTACTACTACTACTAGGTTTTATTAATTTGTCGTACGGTAACTAAGACATAACAAGGGAGGAATAAAAGTAATTTGCAAAAGACAGTGCGTATTCGATGGGGTTACCATTACAAACATATCAACCATTGACAAAGCGAATTAGAGGCAGACATTAGTAAGTGACTATGCTAACGAATGACTACTAATGATAAGTATTATTCATCATCTATTATCAAGTATATAGCTGAAACAAATAACCGGATTGTTCTTCATTAAAACTTGGTGGCGTGGTATAGTAGTCTGGAGCGAATACTTAAAGTTAGGGAGTTTCTAGTCATCTGAAAATTAAAAGCTCTGTTGCGTTCTCAAAACATTCATACTCATAGTGAATCTACTCTGTAAATACAAATCTTGCTTTAGTAACCAGAGCAGTGTGATTTATGTTGTTCTTTATTATCCTTGGCCTCGTATACCTGGTTTGATAATTCATTTCTTACATAAATATATTTACAAGTTAATGTGTAGTTAGAATACTGTAAACGCACAGCGCTAATATACTACATATACTAGGTAAACTTTGCTTTCCTGTGAATGGACATTTGTATTGTTATTAGTTGTTTAATTGTCTACCAGACTGAGTTCACTTCAAAATGGGTGTCAGTTGATGAAATATGTTAGCGTCCGATCCAGAAATATGGGATTTTTTTGTTAGGATTAACAAACTGAAAATAGTTTACACTACGATTTACCTGACAACCTGGAAGAGGAGCACGCTCCTGTTCTAATGCCTCAATAATATTTTGAGCGCAAGGTATTGTGGAAAGTGTTAACTCCAATAAGAGAAGTTGGGATTGATTAGATATCCACGGCCAGACATATACGCGTACCGTATATTTATATATTTCTTGTATAGGTAGAATTAATGAAGCAAATGGATCAAAAGTGACCGATTTTCGTTGACAAGTAGGACAAATCACAGTAGATTTCAATTGTCCATGGAAAAGATCTACAATGATGGAATCATTTCGTGACTTGTAATATTCCCAGGCTTCATTTGCAACTTCCTTGCATGGGTTAAAGCGTGAAATTGAAGAACGCAAGTAAAATGTGAGCTAAAATGACAAATGCTCAGTTAAATAAAAAAATTTAAAAATCTACTTCGGATTTCTGCAAATATGCAATTCTTTTGTGCAACAATCAAGTTGTTGCTTGAACTTTTCAATTGAACCAATTCATAATGCATCTAGATCATAACCATAACGATACACAGTCACTAACAACTAGGAAGGAATGGAGGGTTTTTTTGTTGAACCATAAGATTTCTTAATCTATTCAAATCGGAGAATTTAACATAATGGAGACTCTGTACTATAAATCTCATAAATATAATTTGTCACTTTTCATCTTGCTAATTTTCTCTCGTATGATTATGATGTCAAGAGTGACAAATTGAATCAATACATACTTTGCCAGGCTTTTACGTAGTTAATGAGTCACGGACTTGGTTGTTACACTACATGAACGCTTAGTATATAAAATAAAACGTTACATTGCGAACAAATCGGGTGAATTATATTCTTAATTAATGTAACCTATCGTCTAGGTCAATACTAAGTAAGGATTTTTCGATTATTAAGTGTAGAATGTCTGTTGAGTGCTTGATATATTATTAAAGCCCTCAATCACTGTGATTTTTAGAAAATTAGAAGAAAATTTTCGATGTCGGATGAGTCCAATTTCTGGAAAACACAGTTAACTAACGAATCTTTATTAAAAGAACTTGTATACAGAATTAACAAACAAGCAGTGGACGAATTCGATTTAATGGTTGATAAGTTGCTGTATAACAACTATACTGATCGCAGTGTTATAAATGTATTTACTGGTTTACTAAAAAGAACTTAGAAAAATGGGTGTAAGTAATAGGGGTACAAATTTAGCCAATCGTTTGTGAATAAACAGATTGACCAAATAGTTTCATTCAGACATTGAGTTAGTATTGTAACGGATGCAGGGAAAAAATAAGCAAAAAGGTGAGACATCCAAAAGGAATCATAACAGACATATTAATAAGTCTGAAACAAGTAGATACAAATGAGTTATTAGTAAATGTCTATATGAATTGGTGCCATGTAACAATCTGGTCACCGTCTTTTATATATTTTTAACTAGTATTGATTATTAAAAAAATATAAAGTTGTTTGAGTTTCACTATTCTTCTCATGGACTAAGAGCAGCACGTGGTTTTTGTAAACATTGCTGCAAAAGTGGTTTGTAGAATACTGGGAAACAAAGTAATTTAAGAATTATAAAATAAACAAGAATATTTTAATAAGTAAGCACAGTGGTATGAAATCTGAATAAATTTAAACTGATTTAGTAACAAAAGAAATGGAAACGCTATAATCAATAAGTATAATAGGGGATAAGCTCACCATATCTGGTCTACCATCGGAATCTTTCACTTCGATATAAGGCTTGGAGTGTATCCTATTTAAATCCTCATGAAGTCCATCCAATAAGAACACAAGTAGTTCATGAGTATCGTGCTGAGCATATCCAGAAAATTGACGAGCAATACGTGCTATTTCAATCTAAGGTTTTAAAAACAAGTAGTACCAATAAGTAAGGGAAGTTATGAGTTAACGTTGTAAATGTGCTTAATATTGGGGCGTAGTCCATATATATACACAATTGAAACGATGAGACCAATAAAGATGTTTATAAACTCTTGCAGTCAGATTGTTTCAAGCGAAAAAAATAAAGACATTAATAAACAACGTTATCCTTTAAAAAATACAACAAAAATCTGTTCTTTAAAGAAAATATGGAGACCGTATTGAACAACAAAATGAAGAAGCTAAATCAACGAAATTCTGACAGCAGTAGGATTACTGTTGAATTTATAGGTAACAAGAAATCTATTTGTAAACTAAGGCTAGCTGAAAGTAACTTGAAAGTTATTAATCAGCAGGAACTCTAGATTACTCCCCGATTTCAATAAAAGCAATACTTGCTTATTAATAAAATCACGTAGAAAGTTTTATTGATCTGAAATGACTGGTAGTTAGTAAAGGTCTTATCATAAGCTGCAGTTTAGGGTAAAACAAGTAATATTTAAGGAATGAGAAATACTTTAATCTAGTAAAAACGGTATGCATTTTAAGGAAAAAAATTAAACGATTATCAGAGTTTACGTAGAAAAACAAAAATCAGAGAAAACACTGAGACGATTGCATATACAAGATACTAAAATGCGTATAAATTACACAAATATTTGAGGGGTTTCGCTACTTTTACAACGGTAAGTCTTTATTTTTACACATCCGCACAAAAAACTACTCAAAAAATGAACACGGTCATCAATCAATATGCCTTACTTTAAATAGTTACCCATCATTAATTACCTATCTTAGACTGTCGTCGAACTTTACTTAAGGAAACAGATGTACGTAGATGATGTTGGATAAAATGCTCAGTAGTAGATGAATTTGAATCATTTACTTTATTTACACAAGGTTGGGGTTTTGATGTAACATAATCAAAAACTCCCATGTATCAAAAAGAACACTGGTTAGTAATAAAAATAAAATAATTCAAAGTTTACATAGACAAATAGAAGGATATTCGATATAATAATATAAATACAACGAGCATATCAATGAATACATACCTTAAATTCACGAGGCACAGCATATGCTCGAGTCCCTGACCAAAGCTGCTTAATGAGATCTGCATAAGCGGTAGCGATTCGTCCTTGAGACCCAAGAGGATTACGTATATTTAGTTCTGACTTCCACTTGCCACTTAGGAAATAACTGGTTAATGCAGGAACATTGGACATACACTGAAGAGCACTATTCATAAAACAGGTATTTCCCAAGTTATTGAGACCACAAACTCCTGGTACTAAAGGTGGACCCGATTCATGTAAAGATATCATCTGTGATTCAGATCCAAATCTTATAGAGTCATTTGACTTTACACGTGAACTATCTACGTAAATGCTACATTCAAAGAAGAAAAGTAGTGCTGATACAGTACAGGAACCAAAGTAACACATTCCTCTCCTAAGTAATGACTAATAGACTAGTTAATAAGACTAATAAGAACTAAGAATATTGTATACCACCAAAGTTTGCGTTTACTGCACAAAGTATAACAATCCTAGATTAAAGGCTTCATCAGTTCTGAACTTCAAGAAGCATAAAAACATTTAGCTACTAAACTGCTTGGATTGGCACGGATACAGAAGGCTCTATTGGCTTTTGCCAACTTGCGTTAGCTATGGCGTAGGCGAGATATCCGTTTTCTAATCAAAGGACTAGTCTACTGCACATCAGTTCACTCCGTCTTACTTTATGGCTACAAAACATGACCAGTCAGAGTACAAGGTATTCGTAGGTTGCAGGTTTTGGATCATAGGTGTTTCCGAAGTATCGCTCGTGTACCCTGGCACAACCGAGTAGGCGATGCGGTTGTTAGGAAACGAGTTCTAGGTAAGGGAGGCACATCAATAGATAAGGTAATCAAACTTCATCGGTTGAGGTGGTTGGGACATGCCTAACCACCAACTGCCTCGTCCAGCTATGCTTTGCGATGTAGAATTGGGTTGGAAGAAAGCTAGGGGCAACCAAGCCAAAACATGCCACAAATCCATGAAGTCACTGACAACGGGATTAAGTCATGTTGGTAAGTGTAAACTGCCTGGTTGGTGTCCACGAGATGATAGTGATCGATGATTAGAGACCTTGAATGATATGGCTCAAAATCGTTTGCAATGACACAGATGCATCCATTCTCTGTGTTCTCTGGAATTGTAATCTTCTGAATTCCTCATCAACTTTATCTTTTTCTACTTCTTCAATAATATTCTCGAACCCTAATCTCTCCGATTACTGCTAATACTCATACTACCTCTACTACTATGGGATTTGAAGTGACAAGTGAGTGTCTGTGCTAATCTGGTATGGTGTACGTACATACGAAGTTCTACGTTGTGGCTGACTGACTGAAAAATTTCTATATATTCACTAAAGTGCACTAAATCTGATAAATTTTTTTACAGATATTCAACCGATGATTATGAAATGAATAGGATGAATAGCTTAATTAGTATATGTTAAAAAACAGTAATCGGTAACTTATAAGCAATACTAAATTACTGTCAATTGGCTTAGGAAAGAATAATGTCAGCTTTTACGTTCAAGTGACAGATTGATAATGACAAGGGGTTATTAGCAAGATAGAGATTAAAACCATACCCAATGTAGGTTAAGCAAAAATGATCTTAGTACTTACTCATTGCGCATTCCATTTCTGGGTTCCAGCTGAACAAAAATAACCTGAGTAAAATAACAAGACAAAAATTTGTAAACACGGGATTACATGATTAATATTTGACACAAGCACTTAACAACTATTACAATCTTAGTGGATTACTTTGGGCTTTCATAATGCCCTTTAAATACTTACCTTTTCTAGACCACTGGAGCTCAAGTTACTACTACACGTCGAATGTAGGACTTAGTGATGCGTTGCACGATCGACATTATGTAGTAGTGTTTTACTATTGCTGATCAACTGATGTTCTAGGCATGAAATTCTAAACTTAATATATAGTTTCCTGACTACTTATATAAATTAGTTAAGGCTTTTAGCAATAAAGGAAGATTGTAGTAGTGTGGGACTAAAAAGTAGGATTTAGTGATTGGAGTGTTAGCATCTGAATGGGGTACTGAAAATTTTCGAGAAACCTGAAACTTAACATTGCTAGACTATTTAGTGGTGAAGATGAATATAACACGAAAATGTAGTACCATTTTTGTAACTGAATAGGGTACTACTGTATATATGTGAATATTTGAAAAATAACAATCCTTGGCTTTGTAACCTTTTCCAGCCCAAACCACATTTATTATTTAGTCTTCCACAAACACAATTGACCCCGGCTTCGTTAGACAGTAGGCGAACAACTGTGTCCTCAGTCATAACTAGTAGTACCTGTATTGAACAAGTTATAATAATTACCCTAAAAGAAAATTCCCTCATAGCCCTAGCCTGCTTGGTGATAGTCTTATTTATCTAGTAAGCTTAAACAGGTTCAGGTATTGCAGCATTTCTACTAGGTTCAAGCTACTGGTACCATCTGACTATTAAAACAATACATAGAGGTTTATAAATTAAAAATACCATAGCCTGAAAGTTCGAAAGCCGACGGACGTTAATGAACTTTTGTGTAAAATAACGTTCGTGGGTCGCCACAAGTCCGTTTCCATATGTATCCTGAAAGACTGAGAAGTGGTTTTTTTACCCAAGTGACTCCTTGTACCATGTGGAAGGAATGAGACATGAACGGGAATTTATGTATTACTTCTACCATTGAAAATTCCGTGTTTGGAATGAGTATGAGCCAACAAATTAGTGTTAAATACTTAAATCCTATTAGATATCGAACTTCAGCATATTGGTTTTCGAAGTCATACCTCTTGTAACCATGATTACTGAGAAACGAATATTTCTATGCATTTACACTTGCTGTTAAACAATTGGGTGGTTATTTCATTACGGAAACAAAAAGCTCACTGAAATTTTACTTTTTCACGCTCCAAGTTAGCTTCTTCTATGGTGGCGTCTTCATCCTCCAGTTCTTCAAATTCATTTTGTTCATTGTGTATTGATAAGTGAATCGTTACACTAGGTGCAGTTTTGAGGTGTTGTGCAACCAACAGTTTAAGTTCTCCTGAAAAGTAATTTATGGAAACCACGACATACGTATTGTCTGGAATTTACAATATACTCCTTCGAACAAGAACGTCGGACTTGAATTTAACGGATTCAAGTAAAATGAATAATGAGGTGGATATATTTCTATTTCTGCCGACTTTGGAGTCTGGATAGCACGTCGTTCAAAGACTGAAGTATTTGTGTGTACACAACCATAAAAATCAACAAACAGCTTCCACACATCCTTAGGTACTAACGTTATATCGTTTTCCAAGAGTAAGTTTTCCTTTAACTTTTCACCATCTGCGTTAATATAACATATGAATGAAAGAAATCTTACTTAAAATATCACTATTATCAACTTTTCCAGGATATTCTTCCGAAGTGTCATCCACCATCCCACTTTTCGAAACCGAGTCCACAAATTCTTCCCACTTTGTCCACCAGTTAAGAGATAGAATATACCTGAAACGAACACTAGTGGCGATAAGAAAAGCTACCATAAGTCTCCTTTTGTTATGTCTACCTTCATTAACTCATCAACTTTCGCTTTTTGAGAAGTGAAAGTGGAAGCACTTCTGCAAAAATAAATAAAAGAAGTTTTTTACAGAAGACTGAATAACAGATTTCCAGATAAACGAAACATTTGGCACATAAATGACACACTCACTCAGAAACCATCCTTGACTGCAACTATTTCAAAACAAGCGGTGAAGGTTGCAGCGATCATCATTACTAGATAGAAACGAAGCCTTAGTGAACTTCAGGCTGAATCTGTTAGTTGTTCGAACTGACATTATTTTCAATTCATCGGTAACATACTTGTAGTGAAGTCAGTTTTGGCATATTTGCTACACTTATGTTTGTTCTGTTATAGTAAGAAGTTTGAAACATCTCTTGATAGCTCTATCTAACTGATAGAAATCTGTCACACTTGTTTTTGTCTGTATTCGAAAACATATCCAACTGTGAAGCAAAGTCGAAAACATTGGACCTCTAGAAGTCAGTTACGAAATGTATTCGGAAAACACTTCCTTCTTGCTAGTAGGTCGATAAATGAACGATCAAAAATACGATCAACTTTCGTTGTTATCTTCTTACTTACTTCAGCCTGTTATTCCTAATGGAGCATAAGCCGCCAACTACCATTCTAGAACCCACTCTGTCCTGGGCCTTCACTTCCAGTTCTACCAAGTTCTACTCATTCTTTTCATAATTGCTTCCTATTCTCTGCAAAATGTGTTCCTTACTTTGCTCTACTCCTTTGGCCCTGAGGACTCAAGGTTGATGAGAGCCAGGAGAGGTAGATACGGCAATTTCTAAAATGTGTCCTGTTCAAGTCCAGTGCGTGGTCCCAATTCGTTCCTCAGCGTTAACTAGCTGGTTCTCTCAAAACATTAGGTTGTTGATCATGGTGTCTGACCAATGGATCCGTAGTATCTTGCATAGACGACTGTTACTAAATAACGACGCCTTACAGATAATGGCCTCTGTAGCTTTCACTTCCTTCAATAGAACTATTTTTATTTTCATGTTGAAAATCTGGTTTTGGTGTTGGTTGACTGTTGTTTCGAGTTCCAAATGTTCTTAAATCATACAAATGTTGCCCTTGCTTCGTAATCAGTGCTTTTACTTCTACATCAGATCAACTTTGTCTATCAGTGATGCTGCCGAGGTATGTAAAGGTTTCCATATCTTCAAAAACTACTCCATCAGATGAGATGTGACTTGTGCTACTGTCGCGAAAGAAGATTTTGCTTTTTGCATTGTGTATGTTGAGAATTACTTCCGTAGAGGCTGCTGCTACACTGGCCGTCTTTATCTGTATTTGTTGTTGTGTGTGGCACAAAAGGGCCAGATAATCTGCAAAATACGAGCCATCCATCCGTATCTGAGTTGTCCACTGTATTCCGTGCTTCCCTTGAGATGCTGACGTCTTCACAATCCAGGTGACCATCAGAAGGGAGACATAAATTGAGAGTAAGCAAACTTACCTGAACCTGGTCTCCACTTGGAGTGAGTCTATGAGCTACTGTGTATTTAGAAACTTGCAGTGTAGCCCATGATAAGAATTCCGTTTGAAGTTGACTATCTTCTCAGGTACACAGTAATATCTGCAATATCTGCAGTTATTACGATGTCAGTTTTCAGTGCCACGGATGAAGTGTTGT